GTTGCTGTGATTTCTTGCTTTAGTTTAGCTTCTTTTTCGATATAAACTACTCTATCAGACTTTATATTAAATAATTATAAGGCTAAATTCAGCCCAGCTGTCATTACTTAATGTATATCAGACTCCATTCACTAATCTACGACATCTTTTGCACGTCTGTCCATCCTGGAAGAGGGATCCCTCCCCAGTTGCTCTTCCTGAGGTTTCTACCATTTTTTTCCCCCGTTAAAGGGTTTTTTTTGGGAAGTTTTTCCTTATCCACTGTGAGGGTCCAAAGGACAGAGGGATGTTGTATGCTGTAAAGCCCTGTGAGGCAAATTGTGATTTGTGATATTGGGCTTTATAAATAAAATTGAAATTGAATTGAATTGAATATTCTGTGGATCTCAACATGAAGATTCACACTTATACTCTTTCACTGTATGTTTTATGTATGTCTAACATTTGAGTTGTTTCAGAATAAACCTATGTGTTTCTATTCAAATTATATTGTAAGCAACCATGCCTCATGGTATTACAGAGGTGTAGTGTAATACCATGAGGCAGTAAGTCATCAAGAGATATGAAGGTCCTGAGATCAAGCCTGTGCAACTCCCTTTTTGCAGAATTCATGATGAACTTAACAGGTTTGCTAGGTGGGTGTGTAATAACATGAATATGAATCAATCTACTGATCTGTATTTGCTAAGTTAGAAGTTGTAAACTTTAACTGCACTTAACTGGCTGCATCAGAAAACAGATCAAATGAATTAATACAGCTGCAGTGAACTGAGAAACTGTTAGAATGTAATGTACATTACAACTATTATTATTAGTATTTCCGTTATACCGAGTCCAAGTAACGTTACAACAGGACAGATGTAGAAAAGATAACAAGGCCCACAACTAGCTGCAAACTATATTTGTTGCCCAAGGTCGCTTATATAAACGATCTACGGCTCATACAGCTAACGTTAGAGAGTTTTAACTTACCTTCGTGACACATCGGACAACATCGTCCATCACTTGTTTTATATTCCTTTTCAAGACAGCACAGCCCTGGTGCCATGAAGACAGCCAAACACCCTTACAGACACAGAGGTTTCTTTGTTTAGTTCTCTGCGTTAGAAACATTTAGCTAGGCTAACGTTGGCATGAACCAGGAAAGGACATTTATCTAACGTTACTTTTAAGATACTTACCGAAGACAGCCAATATCGAAAGCATTATAACGCATGTTACTAACGTTTCATAACGTTAGTTTCATTAAATTTTGGAAACAACAGTATAGTTTTTGGAGAAAACAAAGGCAAACGACGTAAATTTAGCTAATATTATCTCTGGAATTCCCCCAAAAGAATATTATCGGTTTAGTATTAAAGCGCAACATGTGCGGTGATGCATGTAGCTCGGTCGAGAATATCTCTGGATGCGTGTGCGAGATGGCTGCAGCGACGGAAGTCACAGAAACACACATCCTGTTAACGTTAGATCTGATGCAGCATGCGGGTTCATTAAAATGTTATCAAACTCATATAATAGTTTGTTCTCAGTCTCTGATTGTTTTAATAGTGACAGAGTAGCATATTAAAATGCTTTACAGGCGATCTGTAGTTTATGCTCATGGTTCAACCTCCATTTGACATTGAATTCCCATGTAAATCAGCATCATGTCAGTTTGATGCAACAGACCAGACATATCCCCTCAACTACATAAATGAATTGAAAACATCAGCCTAACGGTCAAACGCAGAGAAAAGAAATACAACACAACTGCTTTCATCACAGATCAGTCAGATATAGTCAGGGCTTCACATCTGTACAGATGTTAAATCAAGAATCCTCACATCCCACTGACCACAAGTCTCTGTGATGCTTAATACTTCAATAATGAAAACAGTCCAATGTTGATATACAATAGACTACAATAGACTATGTATATTTTATGATGAATGTATTTCTTCTGACTGCTAAACGTCACCATCAGTCACACAACATGTGTTCTGTTAACAGAATAAACCTTGAATTCAGACAAATCAAATCAAACTCTCTCCCACTGAACTAAAATTAAGAGTTTATATTAAACGTCATATTGTTGAGTCAGCATCTAAACCAGTCAGCTGTTAGATCAGGTGAGGGCCAAGCGTTTCCCATCATGCCCTCAGTCTTGTAGTTGGTGGAGAGCAACTGCAGCACCTGGCTCTAAAAACTGCGGCTCCCTCGTTCTCGTGAGAATGTCACTGTCCACTTTTGCATGATGTCACTGATGAAGTTGGACACAAATCCAGCTGGCATGCATTGTGAGGCGATCGCTGGTGTTTGAATCTGAGAGGGCCTGGCTCATCTCAAACAAGCAACACCCATAGATCAAAGCCGTGGGGGGCTTCCAAAATAGCGGCATGACTAGTCCTAACTTCACTGTGCTCTCACCACCAAATTTTTATTTGAAGCATTTATTGGCTGTATATGAGAAAGTTAAGTTGGCGAAGATTATTGAAGTAGCTCGTCATTATTTTCCGGCTTGATTTTGAACTTACATCACACAAAGTCCGGTCAAAAAAGACTGAATGAAACTAGCAAGGAGGGAAAAAGTAGCATGCTCACTAGCCTCTACTACCATGACCACAACTACAGCAATGGAATAGAATACAACCTGCAAGTAATTTTCAATGAAGAGTTTACTCCTTTGCCTGTGACACCAAGTAAGCCCCCAGTCTCCAAGAAACTTGCATCATCTGGTGCATACTGACAGTGCTTTAAGTTCCAATGAAGCCATTCACTCTTTGGCTAAAGTTATTAACTCCAGGAATTATACAAATGGGAAAACTATAGAAACTTTCCATAGTGAACTAAAAGTCAAGAATGAGAAGATTAACTGAATTGGAAAAAATAAGTGGAAAGGAATGAGAGATCTACCCTGATGAATTGTGTGTCTATCTTGGAACTATACAGATGACGGTAAAACCCTAGGCTCTGCGGTGTTCCATATGTGTGCAAAGGTGATTAGTATATGCCAGGCTTCCTGATGCCGTAGATGTTGCACATCAAGGGGGGAAACATTGCCAGGATGACCAGAGGCCCAGC